TGGAGACGATGCCCAAGGGTGTCACCGCGGCCATGCTGGCAGGGTATGAGAAATGGGCCACGAGGTTTTCCCGGCAATGAGGTTTATGATGATGAGACGGCATCTCCCAAAGAGGGGCGTAGATAGTTTTCATCCACGATACCTAGCAAAAGCATACACACATGCCATCCAATGCGCAAGAATGGGGTACCAACAACGGATGGAATTATCAAGGGTGCCTAGTGACCAAAAAAACCAGGCTTCTGCCAGCCTGATCCAGATACAAGCCACCTCGTTACAGATGGGGTATACGCAGTTCGCTTCCACATCACACGCACCCCATACGACCATCATCCCCAGCGCGTCCCATCCGTCGGTCTCTCCGCAGGGGCGTCACACGCAGCCCCCTCCCGGGCCCAACCACCCCGATCATCATCAGCGCTGGCCTCTGCCAGCTTGCGCGTCGGCCATGAGCCACCCGCGCTTCTCTCGCCGCTGCAAACTCCCACGAGCACTGTCGCTCGCTCACTCGCTCAATTTAGTTTCGTCATTCTCATATCGTGCAAAGAACAAACCATGTACGAGAGAAGAAGGATGGAGAGAGGGGGAGGAAGAGAGGGAGAAGAAAAGAAATTGAAGAAGAAAGCCTGGCACCCGTGAAAAATAAGTACCGGCAAACGCCGACCCCGCCCAGCCGCCGAAGCAGACCCGCCGTATCCGGAAATCAAACATGCGACGGACGTCGAGAGAACCTTGGGTCGGTCTACCCTTCGACGTCGCGCGATCGTGTCCCTTAGCCTGCTTGTCCTTGGTCATGCCGAATGAAACAATAACGCCCTCATGATTCGTCGTCCGACCTCGAGTTGCCACCAGTCTTGACCGAGGGAGAAATGTTGATCGAGATCTTCCTCGGCGCGCTGGAAGGACTTGACCTATTGGGGAAATCCTTCTTTCGCTTCACCATGCTTGTTGACGATGCGACGGACGCGTTCGAGCCTGCGGAGCTGCTGTTGCGACGCTTGTTCTGCATCAGCTTGCCCAGTTCGTCCTCCTCGTCCTCTTCGCGCCGTCGCTTCTCCGATAGCCGCTCTGGTGGAGCGACAGCAGGTGGTGTCGATGGTGGCGTTGCATCGGTCGATTTGGTCTCTTTTGATTCGGCGGGCGGCGTCACGATGGCGTTCTCCTGGTTCTCATCCGGCTCGTCGTCCGAGGGGTAGTCGACCAGGGGGTTTTGACTGCGGCGTCGCGCCGTCTCCGTTCGTAGTCGGTTTGTCTAGCGCTTTGCTCTCGGGGCCGTCATCCTCGTCCAGATTGTCCCAGTAGTCCACGTCCTCCTTGTCCAGGTAATAGTCCATTGTGCCTGCTTGAGTCTGATCGAATCGGAGAACAAGTTCCCGGAACGTATCCATGTAGCTGAGAGGGATCAGCTGCTCCCGGTGGTTTTGCACCAAGTGTTTGACCAGGTCCTTGACATTCTCCTTCTTGATGAACTCAAAAAGCTCGAGGCAGGCGGAGCTCAAGAGGTTGTCCCGGGGCATGGTGTCGTTGAGCACATCCAGCAATGGGCCGAAGACATTCTTCTCGGTGAGATGCTTGATGTAGAAGTCGTCGTGAGATCCAATCAAGCTTCGGAAAAACCGTATGCCAACTAATCACGTTAGTATGAATACGACGAACACATTTTGGGTGGACCCGTACCAAGCTGCAGATACTTCTCAGGACAGCTGAGGAGTTGGGCGACACGCTGTGCGATATCGTTCTGCAGGACAAAGAACTTGCTCCGATGCAAGTGTTGGCGAATGAAGTAACCGAGGACCTCAATGAGGTATGTGAACATGGATGCCTGTTGCACGGTAAAGTTCATATCTGTCCGACCCTCCAACGCCATGAGCGGCCTGAACAGTTTTCTCGCCGAGTGCTCGTAAAAGTTGGCAAGCAGAAGCTCGTGGTTGGCTTCTGTCGCTTGCGGTAGACGTGTCTTGCCAGGGAACTCGCCGTTGGCCCGGGCAAAGGCTTCCTGTGCCTGAACGGGCGGTCCTTGGTCGAGCAGCACTCTGAGGGCGTCGGCAATCTGAGATCTCACCCCAAGATCAGCCTCGACGAGGAGGAGATCCACCAGGGAATCGGTGAGTAGTGGATGGTTTTCTTGGATCTGGCGGTACAGTGTTTGCCGAATCATGTGAGGGTCGTGCTCGATCATGGCCGCCAGAATGTCCGTTGCGCCGACCCGAACACCGACATCGGCTGAGCGCAGACCAAAGTTAATGACCTGCAACAGGCCATGTGCGATAAAGTTGTTGTACAGCGTCTGGCGCGCTGGGGGTTGCAAGTTCTTCGCAATAGAACAGCATTGCTGGATGAGCAGGACGGCGTCCTTCTTTCGCGATTCCACCTCTGCCCCCCTGAAGATGCCAAACAGCTCATTGAGGTAACCCGCGTTCCCTTGCAGATGCTGCACGATGTCGACTTGATTGAAAAAGATCAGAGAGTTGAGGACGGAGAAGGTAGGGTCGTCGAGGATGCGGGCCAGGACGACGTCCTTGAGATATTGAAGGCGGTGCGTTTGGTGAATCTTCCGCTCGATGCTTTCGTCTCGAATAGGTACCACCGACTTGTAGCGACCCCGGTTGCCGAGCCAGTGGCGGTGATTAGCTTTGTGGCTGGGGAAATCCGGGTCGTATTCGAGGGCGCCAACGACGCCGAGGAGACATGCGTCGGATACAGCATGTTCGATGATCGAGGTGTCGTTGAGAAGGATAATTGTTTTCATAATGTTGCACAAGCGATGCAAGTCGGTCAGGCTTTCGAGGTCCTCGGCCATTTCGACAAGTGGGGTAAGCTTGCCGATGTAGTCGTCGCTCATGATGAACTTGGCCAAGGCGTCGCGGCCGTTGGCCGTCTGATTCATTACGCGCATGCATTGCTCGATTTCGGTAAGGTTCTTGAGATCGGCGGTGGGCATGTTCACGTTGCTAGGCATGTCCATGGCAAGGTCGTCTGAGAGGCTGTCATCAACTTGAAAGACGTCAGCGAAATCCAAAGGGGTGTCGTGCAGTGGTCATACCGGGCGCCCCGGGTGCGGAAATACCACCGTGGAAGGTCGATTGGATGCCGCTGATGAACTTCCTGTGATTCGACATGATAGGTCAGTAGATGTACACGACAACGGCGCGACGCCGAGGGTGCGGCGATGGCACGAACCAGATCAGATGGCAGCCCTCTGCCTCTTGAAAAGAGAGTGCCATGTCAATACCGCTGCTTGGCTCGGTCCACACTATCAGGGTTTCTATGGGAGTAGGCAGCGTCAGCGACTTGTGTCGGATGGGATGGGAAGATGGCGCGGGGCGTGAGAGATGCCGATGTGACTTGCGACATACCCTGCTGCTTTTGGAAGCCATCCTCCTTGCAGATCTTGGTCTCAAGAAGCAATCGTTCGGGCTGGTCTTCGGACTCGACGTAGACGCGAGGGTCGCGTGGATGGCCCTCTTCGGATTGCTGCACATCCCCATTGATCAGTATTTCGCGGTGGCAAGGATGAGTGACGCGACGGTGGGTCAAGCGAGGACGAAGAGGCCAGTGACTTGAGCAGAGGAGACGAGACGATGTGGGAAAGCCATGACGTGACATACCTGGGTAAAAGCAGCGGTACAGAAGCCGGTGCCTCGGTCAAACCAGTCATTGTTACGGAGTTCGTAGACCTTGACGCGCTTCTTGTCCGTCGACTGATGAGGCACGGATTGTGCCATCATCACAGGTTCGACGTCCCCCTCAATGGCGACCCTCGGCTGATAACTAGTGATGTCGGGGGCGAGCTCTAAATGTTGCTGAAGAGATAGTTCGGCTTCTGGCTGGCTAAGGATAGTGAGCGCCACTTTCCCAGATGTGCGCCGCAAGGTTGGCGCGTGACGACAGGAGGGGGTAGAAGGAGGGAAGAGGACAGGTCGGTTGGTTGATCGGTCGGAGGGTCGGGGTCGGGATTCTGGGTTGGGGTTATGGTTCTGGTGTTCTGGGGCCCTTCAGCTAAGGCCAGGAGCAGGCGCGCGAGATTGCCCTCCGATGCGTCGCGACAAAGGCAGGCGATGAGGGTCGTGGCACTGTCGCCGTATGACGTCGATCGACTGACGAGACAGAGAGAGAGGGGGGATGGCGCGGCACGTCGAGTGCGTCGTGTCGTGGGAGGTGCAATTAGAATGCCATGAAAATCGGAGGCGGGTGCGGATGCGGATTGCGGGCAGTGGTCGCGCGATCGACCGTCGGACAGATTGATAACAACTGCCACCCGAACGAAAGCAGCAGCTGAATGCCGCAGTGGACCCTGTCCTGGCTGGTCCCTGAAGAAGAAACCAGAGGGAAAGAAAATGGGAGAAAAGAGCGGAAAGAGCGCGCGGTAGAGGTGGAATGGCGGTAGGGCAGCGACTCGTGGCTCGAGGATGAAGCTAGCGCGGCGCAAGGTTTGGGCTGTGATGTGACCAAGGAAGAAGTTGAGGCTGGCCTGGAATGCACTGCGGACGAAGTGGGCGGATGCGCGTGATCGGGGGTGGGTGGACGTGGGTGGCACTTGCCCAGTGCGTCTGCCCCCAGACAAAGGCAGGACCATCCATCCGTGGCAGGTTGTTTCCTCTGCGTCCTGGGTGCCTCCTGGGTGCCGAGGTGGCCTGGCCTGTGCGGGGCAACCAGCTGGTAAAGGCCCTGTCACCAGCGGTCTGCAGCTGGCTCACGTCATTCGGCGCTTCGTCGCTTTTCTCTGTCCAATCGGAGGTCGTTCTCGGAAGGCGGCTCCTCATCTGCTGGACTGCTTCGGGCAAGCGCTCGTCTGAGATTGCCGCCTCCCGAAAGGCTTGATGCCTGATGGATGCTGGATGGCACGCCATGGGATCGAATGAGCCCCCGAAAATAACCACGATCGTTGCCTTGCCCTGGTCACCTCAGATTGACCATATCCGCCAAGATCGACAAAGCCCATCAATTGCGGTCCTGCGACATCATTTGTCGTCAAGAGAAAATTGGGGGCTATCCTGTTTCGGCTTCTGGCGCTCTGCTTGACTCCCGAACATGCACTGAATTCTGAGCCTGCTGCCTCGCAACACACGCACGCACACACACACACACGAGAACGGCATTTGACTTTCGGCATTGTCAAGATTCACCGTCAATGTTGAATCCCATCATTTTAAGCACCTCAAAGTCTTCTCTCGGCCCCTAGTGTCTCGAGCGAGAAACCGGCCGTACAACACGAACTTGGTCCAGGCACAAGCTCAGGCCCGGGGCCCGGGCTACAGGTTCAAACGAATACTAACTTAGCACCCACGTGCGATTATGTCCCAGACTTCGTCCAGTCCATCTGCAGCTAGCAGCTTTCTATCCCATCGCCGGAACAGCATTGAAAGGCCGATCACACTCCCCAAGTTTATGTACCAAATGCAGAGGCCCGCACCATGCCCGTCCCATCCACGGTGCTGGTAAAATTGCTGCAACGAAGCCACTGCTTGAATAAGTCGACAAACAAAAGGACATGGGCCCCGAAATACCCAATCGTCAGCGAGACCAAGGATCGGACCAAGGACGGGGCCCGTGCTAGGGCCACACATCTTCCCTACCCGCATTTTAGACGCAGATCATTTAGAGTCTTCTCCTGTTCTCGTCGCTTGCCATACATGTAGCGAGCAACTGGGCCCGACATGTACTTACTGCGGAACTTCGGTGCGACGCTCGACCCATGTGATCGTTTACAGAATCTCAATGCAACAATCAGCATCGCATGCGCTCAATCGACGGATGTGCTGATCAAATCTACTGGCCAGCAGGGCAGCAGGGTACAAGAGCCTGTGATTCCCCAGCGCCCAACCTGACCCCCACGCACCGGCATACTACACCGTCACCTTCTCCTCATCATCGTCTATGTCCAGCTCGCATCCGTCGGCGCAGTCTTCGGTTAAAGATTCCGAAAGACAAACAGTCACCCACCTCGCCATTGGCACAATGTTGAGATATGAGCCTGACCGGCTAGCCACCCCAGAGGGATTGATTAGCATCTCGCTAGCATTCACACACCGGTGTGTCGTTGTCTACCTACCTCCTTGTTAGCGGAGTCAATATTTTCTCCTACCAAGAAGCAGCTTGCTGCGTTGGCCTGATAAGGTACAAGTCGGCCCAGGCTCGGACTGGTTTCTGGTGTCATTTCAGGCGATTTCCCGATTTTGAAGTGGCATGGCGCCCCCAACGGATGCGAAGAGCTGACCATCCCGTTTCTGATAGCGCCAAGTCGAGCTTGCTTGAACGAACTCGGTACTGTCAACAAGCGGCGTCTCTTCTCTCTTCAAGCAGATTGATATGAAGCAGATGCCGACCATGGACACCAGCTAAGCCCCCAATGCCTTAAAAGGAAAAAATGCCCGACGCACGGCAGACTACCTTATTCGCCTTGCGTGGAGCATTGTTGTTGACCAGGCTCCCTTGACGGGTCGCATATGATCTGACCCAGGGTTAACCAGAATGCCTGCCTCGGCCTTGTCGAACAACGACCCTGGCGGCCTGGTCGGATCACAATGCTACACCAAAGCGCGAGCTTCCTCCAGCAGGCGCACATCAACACCCCGAACAAAGGTCACTAATCAATATTCTCCAAAGCCTGCTCCACTGAGTATCGATCGTCCTTCCTTGGAGGTGATGTCTTTTCACCATGGCTTATCAAAGCCCGGCTGTTCGTCCCTGTCGTCCTCATCACAGCTGAAGCGGATGGTGACAGACGTGCATCGGGCGACATATGATATGTATGATTCAGCTATACCGCACTTCGACACTGGCATCCATCCACCGTCCTCCAGATTCGGCCAACGTGTAGAACAGACAAAAAGCAAGACAGAGTCTCACAATACAGAAGCGGATACCACGGGTGGTTGGCAGAAGAGGCAGAACCACCAGCAAAAGCTGCGAAATGCAACTAACACAAAAAGAAAACGAACGTCATCATTATCGTATCCATGGGCGCATTGAAACAAACAGGGTTTGGTAACGAGCCGTGTGAGGGTTGTTAGCGTGTGTCTTCCGCCGGAAGGTCTCCCAACAGCCTCTCGACAAGGTATAAGAACCTTCCGGGCGCTATCAGCCCGATTACGGTTGACGCTATCGTTGCTCGGGCACCCTGAGAGCTCCTCTAAAGGATGCGCTACAGGGTTTCATTCCCCTGAAATCCAGAAGCCTGAAGCGGACGATGGCGGTCCGGTGCGGCTGGAGCGACACCATGACGGGCTTCCATCGACACGGGGAGCGACGGGTTCTGGGTTCCTGGGAAGCTAGCGCCATGCCGCCCGTGGTCAGTCCGACCCTAGGCGCGTCCGCCTGTGCTCAGTATTGTCCAGGACGTCGTTGGCTGGCCGTCATGCCGCCACGCCGCCCACCCGCCTCGGCCACGCATCCCTGCAGGCAACCTACATGAGCGCTATCCGTGCCGTGCCTGGCTCGGGATGGAATACGAGGGCCATTTTTGGGAGGAGCAAAAAGTTGGCTGATGCTCCTCAGCGACCATTGTCGATGGCGCTGACGCGAATGCTGCAGGCTGAACAGAAGCAGGATCATGGCTCGTGAATGGAGCATCGTCAGAGCTTGTGAGGATGCAAGGTTGCCGTCCGTGCCGTCGCGATAACAGCGTCGTCGCCCTCGCCGTTTGCGATTCTCCTGCCGATCACCAACCAGCAAGCAGGTAACCACGAGTTTGGCCCGTGTCGCAATATGCATGCCAGGCACAGAGCCAGCATGGTGAAATCTGCGATCCAGGAATCCGTCCGGGAGTGAGAAGGATCTGCAACAAGAAGGATCGGCACGGTCTCCGGCGGTGGGAACGCGCTTTATCGCCATGTTGCAAGCTCACCAACTTCCCTGCTTCCTAATTGCTCGTACCTCACAGTCTCGCACGCCGCAGCCTACTGTCGGCGTCTTTTTCTGTCCTCAGTATGCCAGCCAGACGGCACTTGCATCTATCATTACGAGATAGACCAGAAAAAGGGGGGGGACTTAACCCAAACCCCGGTCTGTCCATCGCTTTTGCCAAGCGGAGATATTGGAAGCCATGCACCAGCAGTCGAAAGGCGGCTTGGCTGCTGCGTAGGTGTATCCGCAACCCGACAGAGACCCCTGCTATCATCCAGGTCCGAGTCCTCTCCCACCCACCCTACTAGAGGTGATGTGCCTTGCCTCACACTCTTTCACGGCTCACTGCCTATTCACCCACACGCCCCCATTAAGAGTCTCCTGCCACCCCCCCCCCCCAAATGCCCTTTGCAAGCCTGGAATCCTCCCCGTCTTAAAAGAAAGAGCACGCAGTTCTGGGACGCATGTCTGTGATTCACCTCTTCTCAAAATTCTTCGATTCAGGCCTGTGACAACGACGACGTCTCATAAGGCTGGAAAAGTGCATTCCCGGCAGCCGTCCTTTGACCTTGAGCGTACTGCCTCCTTATGCTCGACTCGCAACCTTGAAGACGCCTCGACGCCCGTGGCACTCTGTTTGACGCAGCCTTTGGTCCCCCTCTCTGTCTGTCAGACGCCTCTGACTTCACGATAGCAGGGCGTTGCATAGGTCGACCTGCCTCGTTCGTTTAGACAATCGCCAGAGTGGCTGGTGCTGCAAAATTGTTCGTTCTGCCTTCTCTCGTGGTTAGAAGGGTGAGATCTGGTCAAAGGTCGCGCACACATCCCCCCCAGAGTGTGGCATCTCTCTCGACACCCCCGGCCCCCCCCCACGACCCCGAACTTCCCAGGAGTTCTGGAAAACCAGAACAACCGGGCCAGGGCAGACGCGTACAGCCTCTTTCCCCTCACGACATGATTATTCCGTCACTCACCTGACGACCCTGACATTGCCACTGACAATCTCATTTCAATTCACCCCAACATTCTATCCTGGAGACCATCCTGACCCAGTCCCAATCAGGTTTCGGCCACTTCGCATCCTGGTCTCTTGACCCCTCTTCGCTTGTGGCATCCCGGGATCCAGATCAACCCGTTCGTGCGGCCTTCCTAGAACAGTTTGACCCGCACCCGCACCTTACAAGCGACCTGCTATTTGAGCTCAAGTACGAACACGCCACCTCTACCTTCCCCGAATCTTTTGTCTGCTCTCGCGCCAGCGGCAACGCCGGCTCTCAAAGCATCAAACGCCAACAATGTCCATCCTTTCGAGCCTCAAGAAGTCGAGGCAGTCGGCCAAGGAGCACAACAAAAAGGAGGCCGAAAAGGCTTCAGAGGAGCACAAGCAGGTGCCGTATCGCCATGTTCCTACGCACGCCGCCATTGACGCCCTCGCGCCGCCCCCTCGAGCTGGAAGCATGACGACCGACCAAAGATTCTCGAGCAGAACCGACGAAGGAGTGCCATGGCCACGTCCAACCTAGGCACGAAAATGCCAGGACCAGGAGGACTCCCTCGTGTTGGCAGCAGTCTTTCTCACGTCACTTACCCCTCGGTGCACGCCAACCCGATGCGACACATGCCCAGAGCCTACAGCTACAACGGCGTCCCGCCAATGCCTGCTTGGGGCGGAGATCGCTCCACCACCGTCAATTACTCGGTACCTGATCTCGCCCTGCCGTCCATCAAGGGCAAAGAGGTTGAGAGGCTGCCTATGTTCGAATCAGGGCGGGCGAGCTCTTTATCCAGCAAAGGTGCGTCTGTGCTTGGGTGTGAGGGGGAGAGAGAGAGAGGGGGGGGGGAAACTCTCAGTCGGGCATTGCTGTCCCGTGACGACTGTATGCTGACAGCTTGTATAGGCTCCCCTACTGGCAGTTCTGGTGATTCAACCAGCTCTGATGACCTTGAGATGAGGCCTTCTCACCCCCGCCACAGCACGATGCCCATGACATCGTCAGTAGGCATGTCACCGCTACACCACACTTCTTCCGGCCGCTCCGTAGCACATCGATTGCATCCAAGTTCACGTCGAGCATCTGACGCCTCGGACCGGGGCGACCCTGCAGTTCTCGCTCGCGCTGCCGCCGCTTCATCTCTAAGAGGCGAGGACCGGAGGCCACCACCATCATACCTCACACGAGGCTATAGCTCGATTCCCGCTGGTCATGCACTCTCGCCGACGCAACTTCCCGGCGCGCTGCCCATCATCGAGCCATCCGCCACGGGCGCATCCTCGTCGAACAGTACCACCAGCCTCCAGAGCCTTTCTGTCGGACCGCAATCGCTCTCATCATTCAACTTTGGCGGCTACTTCTCCTCGAACCCTACATCGGCACCCTTATCCACCAAGTCCTCCGTATCCCTCTCTACACCAACGACACCGACAGCCACCGTGCCTGAAGAGCCCAACTGGGGGGAGAAGACGCCCGTGGCGACGCCTGCGGCGCCCGAAGCTACCCCGCAGGCGCCCGCCACCATGGTGCCGCCGCATCTCAAGTTTTCAGATCGCCGCGCGTCATCCCGATCCAAGGTGGCTCGGTTCACAGAGCTTGAGACGATCGACTCGCACACCGAGCAGCGCGCCCCCGAGCTCGCCAGTCAGGCTGTCACAGTCACGCTGCCACAAGAGAAGCAGCAGGCGAAAACATTTGAGGAGCCTGTCTCTGCGCCCGTTCCGGCCAAGGTAGGACGGCGCCTCTCCAAGCAGCAGCCCGCCGGCGGGAAACTGCCCAAGAAGTCACGGTGGTCGATGCGCGGTTCTGCTGTCGCCGTGTGATCCATTGTTCTCGACTGAAAAGCATAGTCAGCATGGCCAGCCTTACCTCATACAAGGTGGAAGAAGGCTGAGTGCCACAACAGGACCCTGCAATCAGCCAGCCACATGGTGTTACGCTTGGCATATGAACGCATTGACGAGGAGTGTTTTACTACTTGAAACTTTATTTTTCTTTCTCGTGTTTATCCCGTTGTCAGGGAGGGGGACCTTCCTTTGTTGACTTTGTTTTCCCAGTTCAAAGACTATTATGCACTGGGGAGAGAATACGGTCTTTTCCGCTGATACCACAGCCATCCCTCGAACCTCCACAGGCATTGTTTCAGCTTGGGAGGGAGGGAGGCATTGTTTTTAACTTTTGGGGGTTATGGAGCTTGGCGTACAGGGTGGGGAATGAATGGCAGAGTCGTAACAGCCACATACAAAGAGACATACACAATCACGCGCCTACACACACAATAAAGCAACTGTCTTACCCGAGCAAGACATCAGGGTCCAAGACGGGAAGCACAGATACGGAGGTTTGGCCAGAGGTGGGGATGAGCGGGGAGCCCCGCCTCCTATGTCTAAAAGGCGGTCGGCTGGCTGGCTGGCTAGCTAGCTCACGAGGGGACCTGTGCTCGACGTCGCAGGCGGATGGGCGAGCGAGACAACAACGGCTTGAGCTGCCCCTCCATGCCGCCGATACGGGAGAACAGAAAGAATTCTGACAATTGGATCGTCTACGATAGGCTGGCTAGCGAACTTCATGTAGGCGAAGACAGACGATAGGGAAGGCTAGATGTGAGCGCCCCCCACCCCCCAATGATGAATACAATTATGGCATCTCGGCCTTGACCTCACCAGTGGTGAGCCGAATTTTCCTATTCGGGCCATGTTCGCACTTGAGGTGGCTTGCATTCTCATCCAGAAACGGACGGGCGAGACAACACTCTGGCTGTCATTCTGTCTCTTTCAGCGGTGTGCTTACTCCTTCTCCTTTGGCGCACTTCTCTGCGCCAAGTCGATCCGTTTTATTGGCAAGGCTGCATGAGCAGCAGCAGACGTAGCAGCATGTGGATTGCGGATTAGGCCACTTACCCTCCGGCGACCAGTCTTGTGCGCCCCTGTCTATCCACTGGTGCACCAGGCACCCGCTGCCGCTGGACGACATTGGGGCCGATGCACATGTGACCTGGGGGGAGGACGACCAGTGATGAGTGCGACGCTGGCACGTCTCTGACGATGCTCTGTCGCAATGCGTCCTTGGCGAGCTCGGTTAATTCAGGCCGCACAGCGGAACGGCGGCCGGATCTTCCCGCCTCACTTACAGGTTCTGGAAGCTGGGTAGATGGGAAGAGAGAAAAAGCGCGTGTCATGTTAGGGGAAGCGCATTTCTCTGGTCCAGAATCATAAATGCGGTGCCGTAGCTTAGTGACAAAAAGAACAAGTATGTTCGTCATGAGGACATACGAACAGGCGTTTGCATCGATGCGCTGCTATTGCAGATTGCTGCGCGAACATTCAAATGGTTTGCCTGTTGGTCGAGGTGCTGCGTGTCAGCGAACATGATGACTGATACGCTTCTCCGTCTATCGCCCTTGGGTCCTTGGTCGGCAAGCCGTAGGGTGCGTCCCACCAGTTCAGGATGACAGGTTGAGCCACTGATGCGTTTGGTCAATGCTGACATTTGACATATTGACAGCAGGCAGACCCAGATGTGCGCCGAGCAGAAGCAGGTCAGCAGTCCAGATGGAGGGGAGGGGAAAACATGTATTGGCTCGCGCAGGACGGGAGCAATATGCATGTCTGACCGAACTCAAAGCGTGTGGCGGTTGGGGGGTTGGTTGGCAGCGAACGCCCTGGGCTGAACTTTCGTTACGCGGTTACTTTGAACGACGCACAGAGAGGGGGCGTGAGCCGAGAGAGAAGAAGAACAAACAGAGTGTGCGTCAAAGAGGGGGCCGTCGATGCGGCAGATCTGACGGAGATGGTCGATGATTAAATGAAGCATGCAGTTCAAGGGACAATGAAAACATGGCGGATGTTGCGTGGTTTCGCGGTAGGCTGCGTCGGCGATGCTACCCTCATCTCGGATGATGTGGGCAGCGGAGAGGAGGAGAGAGGGGACCAGCAGTCGAGGCAGGCCTGGGCTGGGTCTCATGGTTCGCTCGCGAGGGCTCATGCAGGTTAGAACAGTGAGTGCAGAGGGCTGGACCACGCTCTGGGGCTGGGCTGAAGAGCGCATATCGATAGATTGCAAAGTATATTGTATGCGAGTCGGTGGCGATGGGGACCTCATGCAAGGCGAGCACGAATTGGCGTGCTCTGCGACTGTGCTGGCGCTGATGCACAGAGAGAGGATAAGACGATGCACAAGCCCGGCAAACCGCCCCTCTCCGGCCCCGGGACCGAAAGGCAAATTGCACCCGAAGGCCGTCCGCTCCGTGTTTCACCTCGCCTTGCTGTCGGGCGATTCGCAATTCAATGAGATTGAAGATTCGGGGCTGTCATCGGCTCTCATTGGACATGACGGGGATCCTTCTTCTGTTTGGCTACCAAGGGGCTGCAGATAAACCAGGGTTCAAAAGGGGCCTCTGCCCGACAGTCTCCTTTCAACGGACGTCTCTGCTTCGACTTGGCAAGGCGTGGCCGTTCGTGCCTTAGTCTCGGACAGGCAGGACCGTGGCTGGCCCGAAGATCGACATTGGACTACTGTGAGCCAGCATCGTTATCTTGGGGTAGGACAACATGGTTGGCTGCCGTTACATTGTCCGCTTGGCCTAGGTCCGGGGGCAGCGTGAGGGGATACAAAATGTGCATCGGCCCCCCGCTATTCGACACTGATATCATCCCCTCTCCGATCAGCGTCGACCAAGTACATGTTGAAAAATTGAGATTATGGCCGACGTTGACGACAAAATTGACGAGACGAAGTCCACGGCCGAAGCCAGAAACGGGCATCATGTCGACCTCAACACGACGGCCTCTGTCGACCTGATAAACGCCTCAGGCCACGTCCAGCAGCTCTCACGCAACTTCAGCTTGGCAGCCCTCGCTGGCGTTGGTCTCACAGTCGGCAATGTCTGGCCTGCCATCGGCGGATCCATCCTTGTGGCGATTTTTAACGGCGGCCCGCCTGGAGTATTGTACGAGTTTCTAGCCGTGTCCGTGTGTTACTGGACCGTTGCCGCCAGCATTGCGGAGCTGGCAAGCGCCATCCCGTCGTCGGCGGGCGTCTATCACTGGGCATCCGTCACGCCGGGCCGGCGCTGGGGGCGTGGAATCGGCTTCTTCGCCGGCTGGTGGAACTATCTCGCCTGGGTTTTGGGGCTGGCGAGCATGTCCTCCATCTTTGGCAACACCGTTGTGCAGATGTACGCCCTGAACCACCCAGACGTGGTTGTGCAGCCATGGCACGTTTTCGTTGCATACCTGCTGTCGACATGGCTCGCGTGTGCCGCGGTTTGCTTAGCCAACAAGGCGCAGCCAGCGCTGGACAAGTTTGGCATTTTTGCTATCCTCGGCGGCTTCTTCATCACGATCACTATCGTCGCAGTTATGCCTGGCCGAGGTGGGAGACCGCCGCATGCAACATCGTCGTTTGTCTGGAAGGAGTGGTCGGCAGATATCGGGTACCCCGATGGCTTCGTTTTCCTCGCGGGCATGCTCAACGGAGCGTATAGCGTGGGGGCCGTGGACGCGACAACGCACTTGGCGGAGGAGATTGCCTTGCCACACCGCAACGTGCCCATTGCTATCGGCATGCAGATGAGTATTGGCTTCGTTACGGGGTTTTGTTACCTTGTGGCCATCATGTACGGCATCAACGACCTCGACGCCTTATTCGAGTCACCTTATCCCATCGCCGAGATCTACCGACAAGCCACTGGATCAGCGGCCGGGGCCACAGGCCTTCTGGCGCTCATCATGATTTGCATTGGACTCACGATCATGGGCCTGTACATGATCTGCGGACGGACGCTCTGGGCGCTGGCGCGCGACGGGGCGACGCCGGTGCCAGGGTTTCTGGGCGAGGTCAATGGCAGGCTGGACATGCCACTGCGGTCGACGCTGGTGACGGCGGTCCTGGTGACGATTCTCGGGGCCATTTATGTGGGCAGCACAACGGCATTCAATGCACTCGTGGGCAGTTTTATCTTGACGTCGAGCAGCTCCTATCTGGCTGCGATCCTGCCGAACCTGCTGACGGGACGAAAGAATATTTCATACGGGCCTTTCCACATGCGCGGATGGATTGGGTTTGCAGTAAATGGTATGGCGTGTGCATACATGACGGTGTGGTTTGTCATTTATTGCTTCCCGTATTTTCTGCCAACGGATGCAGCAAGTATGAATTATGCGTCGTTGATCTGGGGTGGCGTCACCATCCTGGTGGGTCTCTGGTGGTTCATCCATGCTCGAAAGGGATACCAGGGGCCTCAGACAACAGGAGGCATTGTCAGTGAGGTGGAGAGGGAGAAGGTGACGACGGCCGATGTTCGAGCCAGGCTGGGCCGGCCATGATGGTATCAAAAGTTGATGAGATGAAAGAGGGAGAATGCAGCTTGTCTGTAAGCATGCTGATACGCATCAGAACATGTAAGCTGCAGACGGTTTGCGAACGCAATTAGGGATAAACTGTTCGACAATTTTCTTCAGCCTGCTTGATGACCATCTGAATGGCGGTAGAAAGCGGCGGACATGTGTTGATGATAGGACTTGGTCAAGCACTCTCATTCACAGGGCAAAGAGAGAGCCAAGTCCAAGACAGTACGTACTCGATAGCTATACTGGCGTTGAGCCAGGGCACGAGGTACGTACTTTGAAGGGGCGTGTGCTATCGCTGCAAGGCTGTGAGACACGCTGGGGACCTGCATCAGCGCGTCTAGTGACAATGTCGATTGGGCAGCCTCGTGCGCCACGAAAGACCCTCCACGTTGTTCCTTCCATCTTCGTGTCTGATGTCTGAGGCTTCGCTCCCACCTGTTTGCCATCTTTGAGGTCTGGAGCCTTCTGAGCTCTTCCTCACGACAACACCAACACTGCCTTAGTACCCGAAACGTTGCCAAGGTCAAGGTCGTCCGCTGCGGCCGTTGTGACGACCCAGTGATTGTACTTGGCGTGCAGCTGTCCTTTCTTCGACTGCCTTCTCGTTCACATCCACACGTACAACTAAGACCGCCATTACCATGAATGACATCGTGCACGCTGCCACCCACCTCTCGTGGCCGGCGCTGGTCCTTGGCTTCGTAGCCCTTCTCTTCATCGCCTACCACGCTGTAAGCTTCAGCTACAATTTGCAACCACAATGTCGTTTCCACACATTCACTGACGACCCCTCCAGCTCCTCCTCCTCCTGCACGCCATCGCTCCCAAGCCCCGCGCCGTGCTCCCCTCCGAAAAGACATACTCCACGACGACCCCAGACTCGGACGGCACAGTCACCCATGCACTCCCCTGCTGGTTCGACCGTTGGCTTGCTGAGCGTCAGGCTTCGGAGACGGCCACCAAGCTGTCCGACCCATCCAATGTCCCCCTTCCCGACTCGGGCACCATCGAGCCCGCCTCTGTCCGCGTGACCGTCGTCGTACCTGCCTACAACGAGGAGGCACGCATCTTGCCGGCGCTTGAAGAGGCCGTGACCTATCTCGATGCCAACTTTGGCCGCCCTGCCTCTACCTCAACCCTCTCGCCGCCCCCCTCGGCCAAGCGCACACCCTCCCCGCATCGTCGGGTCCAGAACGCCCCCTCCGACGATGTTACCGGCTACGAGATCCTCATCATTGACGACGGCTCCTCCGACGCCACCATCTCGGTCGCCCTCGCCTTTGCCCGTAACGCACGCCCTCCACGACACGTTGCGCGTCGTTCGCCTGGT